GGCATGTCCGAGATATGGATCGAAAACTAAATTCTTTAAAACAAAATGGCCACCAGTCGGCCATTTTGAACTTGATCTGAAGAAAAATTGGTGTGCATCAAGCTTGTATTATGTTTAATATATGCACTAAATCTGAACAAAATCCATTCGTGCATGACTGAGATCCGGTTCTGGTATTGTGAAAATACGTGATTTTGATGCATTTTCGGCCTTTAAATGGCCATCATTCAGCTATTTTTAAGCGGATCATGAAACAAATGCACATGATGTACCATGTGTGTGTGAAGTTTGAACTTGATCAATCCAGACATGTCTCGGACACGGATCCAGAACTGAATTCTTTAAAACAAAATGGCCGCCAGTCGGCCATTTCAAACCCGATCCAAAAAAAAAAAAATGAACTGCATCATTATGTTTAATGTATGTACCAAATTTGAACAAAATCTGTCCATGCATAACTGAGATCCAGGTCCGGAATGGTGAAAATGTGCGATTTCAATGCATTTTCGGCCTTAAAGCGGTTGCCATTTGGCTATCGTTAATGAGATCATGAAACAAATGCACATACATATTTGTGACATGATGTACCTTGTGTGTGTGAAGTTTGAACTCGATCAATCCAGGCATGTCTCAGATACGGATCCAGAACTGAATTTTTTTTTAAAAAAAATGGCCGCTAGTCGGCCATTTCAAACCCGATCCAAAAAAAATCAAAGAAAGCTTAGAAAGAACTCCCGTGTGCTGAAGGAATAGGGATCATGATGTAATATTCGGGAATATTTGAAAATGATAAACAAATTATGAATAATCTATTAAATAAGGAGCCACCAGTAGTGATCTACACACATAGACATCATATACCTATAATAAGCCTACTTAAAAATATGCATAAAAAGTTTACACAAAATTGAAACATTAAAAAGAAAACTGAAATAATTCATAAAACATTGGGGGGAAATGAAATGCAACGAAAATAGTGAACAAATAAATGCCCAAAATAAACTTATAGAGCATTTAAAAATATTTTAGAAATTTAGTTAACACGGAAAACGTAAAGTAGCAAGAACAACTATGTAAATTTCTGACAAACAATCACAATCTAAATATCTAAAATTCAAACCACTATCTTAATATCAATATATATATGTGTGTCAATAAATATTATATTTATTTATTTTCAGTTACGTATATAAATAAAGAAGGCATCACAATCTTTAGAGTCCCTTTGATTGGTTTGTATATCCCGAAAATCGACATGGTAAAATTACAACCATCGTACAGCTCAGTACCATAACAAATAATAATTTACGACAGACTTCTCGGTACATAAAATTCAAAGTAATCAACAACGCGTCTTATATTTGTTACTGCGTATAAATTGACACTATCTGGGGCACGTCGCTGTAACAAGTGGTATTCAGATACCGTAGTTTTATATATTTAACCTTTGACATGATTATGTTAATGTTGTACGCATGCGTAGTATTGTGTTGTTCTTGAACAGCATGGCCGACACTCAGTAAAGTGTAGTTGTTTACCGACGCAGCAAAGACACTGTTCACGTTGTACTCGCTTCCGTTTTTGTCCAAGATCTATCTAAAATAAGCGATCTTGGAACATGGTGTCAGAAGTGGCGGACTGGAAAAGAACTGAAAATTAAAAGACAGAGAAAGAAACAGCTTGCAGTTCGCCGTCCGTTCGATAATAATGTGCGTGATTACGGCATGGTAACAGAAAACTGTGAGTAAACGAGCCTCATACAGAACAGTGCCGATTGCACATAGCATCGTTGTGATTAAATTTGGGACATTTGGAAGCTATATATCTTTGTGAACATTGCACGGAAAGCACAGAAATCACCTGTTACACGTGTATGTGGCGAGCTACAGTAGCTCACAACAGCAATCATTGTGCAAGAAAATACAGTGTCCCAGAAGTACAATAATAATTCACAGAAAGTTGCATTCCAGCAATTTTGAAGTAATTCTTGATACAGTTTGAAAGTATTAATGCATTATGGAGCACCTTAGAGCA